GTGAAATTTGTTTAGTTCGGAAGCCTATTGGATCGGTGCTTAGGCATTCCTGCGTGAATGAGTGAGTGGATAACTGTGCTTCGATCTGTTTCAGGATATATTTATATACATGCAAGACCGTTATTTTTCTAAATTAAAATGAACATGTATCTTGAAGACGTGCTCCCCTGCCATATGTGAGGGTATTTAATTTCCCACAGTATGGAAACGATCATAATCATTTCCGACTAGGTGAATGTTTTCAGCAGTTGTTGAATGACCAAAAGCCTTGTGATAGTCTGGACAAAAATAAATAAAATAATAATAGTTATCAATATTCATAGTCTTTTCCGCATCCCTGGTTAAATTTCTTCCAAGTTCCTGCATCCATGCAGTCTTTTCATGTACCTACCTAACAAGTGACAATTTCATTATTTAAAATAATTATTCATTTTCACCAAGTTCGTAGCATTTCATCCCACCCTCATGAGGAGCATGGACCAAACAGAAGACTTTACGTTAACTACACGGCTCTCCTAAACTGCCGTTTACGTTCCAAGATAACCATAGGATGCAGGAGTTAAGATCAACTGACGGCTCGTTGTTCTTAAAAGAGGTTCACAGAAAGGCAAACTTCCAGCTCCATTGCTACGATAGCTGGAGTTTATTTTGATTTACGTAACGCCTTTGTGTCTTTCATACTATCTGTTTTTCTCTGTGAAAGCAGCAAGACAGAACATTGCAATCATAACCGGACCGCACAATTTGTAATCAATTAATTACCGTTTGCATGTTCGTCAGCCGGTTCTTGTAAAACTGTCTTTCCTCTGACTCTTCTTCACTAACGACCCTGATGACCCGTTTAAGTTCTCTCTGAAGCGCCTGTTTTTCGGCTTTTGCGTCGGCCACCTGTCTGGAGAGGGAGTGGTTTATTTCGACCAGTTCTCGAAGGCTCTAAAAAGACAAAATATTCTCAATATCAAGTTGATTCTTACATAGGATCTTCTAACTGAGTCAAATTGATAAATTATATAAAATAAGAAGTAAAAGGCCCGTTAGGATGGCCTGTCCTGACTAAAAACAAGAAAAATTGCGTTTTCTCTGACGTTATCTTACACGGAGCACTGCGTAACGAATCTAGATACCTTGCTCAAAATATTTTAATCTGAAGAAGTGTGGAGTTTTGAAAGGAGAGGGTCAATAAGATAGGAAGCAGGATCAGGCGCGGTGATATAAGAATGTTAAATAGCTGGGCTGCACATGACTTATCAGATCGTCACAGAAAAATGAACGGGGGGGTTCGAAGTTCACAAGAATTTGAATTCCATACAACACTGAGGTCCGGATGTAGTCAGGCAATAGCGGACGATTACTACGGAATATAAAATTATCGCATATTTTCTCCTATCATGAAGCACTAGACACTTTAATTATCCTGCCAATGCTGCCAAAGTTTAAACTTTTAGTGTTTATGTGATCCTTCAAAGTGAGCTACGACTGCAAAAGGGAAGACCTGGAGAGGATGTTTAAAACAGTCCAATTTAGAATACTTAGGTGTGGCCGATTATGGACGATAACCGCAGAGGGACCTGGGGCCATTTTGCCTGACTCTTATCATCGCATTAATTTCCATTGTATGGACTTTTCTCTGCCAAGAAATACAGACACTGCCTGTTCAATTGCCTTTTTATTACTGCAACCATACCGGGTTTGATGATAGGTCACCAGAGTTATGGATCAGTGGCATCGGGTCTCGGAGTTCACGCCTTTGTTCCACCTCTTCATTATGAATTTGAATTTGCGTCTGCAGACTCTGCTGCGTTGGGTACATTTGTCTCAATTGTTTCTCCACTACTGCAAATTTGTCATCTCGCTGAGAGAGTTCCAGATGGCTCTTTGGCAATGTATTCTGCGGTGAAATTGCCTTCCAATTTGCCCAAATCTGAAATCAAGCATGATCCGGTAGGCACTTTTATTTTATTAAACTTCTGCTGTACAATAAATAATGATTATAAACACTTGTCAGAGAACATCTTCATTAACTATACGGTGAATTGCCGAATAAAATTAAAAGATTACGGGTACAATTGGCATTGGGATTTGGTATTACGTTCAAAGTTGAAATTCAAGTATGATCTAGTCAGTGACCGAGCTTATGCACTAATCATGGCAAAAAAATTTAAAATACGTTTCCGATTAAATGATTAGTTAGGTGGAATTGTAATATTTATTATTTTGGAACATAATCCCATGATATTTCGCATACCAAGATGCTGGCTTCTGATCAAACATCTTTTCGGTCACATAAAAGGACCTCACTCGTTAAAAAATGATGACTTAAGTAGCGGGTGTTGTTTTAACAGATTATCGATGCCCCTACGTATTCAAATAGATTTTGCGGAAAACGTAAACCAAAGGTTCTTTATTTCACTCATTTTACTCACTAGAACTCTTGATTTTTCCAACATAATCCCAGCATGATCAGGTTCCACTCAGTCATTCAGTCGAAAGAAGCGAGTCGACCACACCAGTACGAAAAGCCACATTTTAGATTTACATGTTCACCGTGGACTGTATCCCTCTTGCTATTGGACTGCACGTCACCATAGTCTTTTAATCCTCAAGTCTCTTATAACACGCTTCAAATTCTTTGGTTGAATTACATAGACGCATCAGACAACCTTGAATTGCCTGACCAACCAAACTTAAGGGATTAGTGTGTGTTATGTGCAAAAAAAGTGTAAGATAAAAAATAGAAATCGCTATCAAAGGGTCCATCACGTTCGAACTAGCAGTTCCGCTCCTATTTAGATGGGGAATTCACGACTTACTTAACTCTACACATGTTTTCTTGAGTCATGTGTGTTCATCTGTATACAATTTCTATTAACAAACGGGCGACTAATTTATCCAGAATCATACTTTGCTGTTTATATAGAATTTTATAGAAAAAAAACACATCATTTCAGGATCATCTCTTTTTTCCATGACTAAGACTTTTAGCTGAATAAATCCTTTGGTAGTTCCGGCGAATGATTGGCATTAACTTTTCACTTTAGCAATTCCTTTGCACGTAACTAAAAGATAAATGGTTCTATATGTTTGTATCGCGCGAATAAACTGCAAAAATGGTTAATCGTAAAGTTGCATATGTAAGCATACGTAAGTGGAAGGCGACACCGTCAACTTGTCGGAAAATCTTCGTCTTTCCTGCATTAATTTTTGGCGGAAACGGCTGGCTTTTTGTTGAACGCCCCTTGCAAAGTCATTTTTATCCAAGTCCAGTGAGTAAAGTGATTCTGATTCATTGGATTCCAGCTCGCTCACAGAAATGGGACAATGCTCGCCGAAATCGAGTTGTGACCTGCAGATTTAAGCGGAGTTTATGAAGATTCAGAGAAGCAATTGCATACACATAGTTCAGTAGTTCAGTGTACTTAACTACATATTTATATGTTATTTGTTTTGGTCTCCTATTCGTGAGCATAGGCGCTTTCCTTATTTCTTACCATGATAAGAGCCCAATGCCATCATTTATGGGAGAGTTCCATTGACTTACCAGTTATGCCCGTTTTTCTGGTTCTCGTATGCAGACTCAATCCTTTTCTTACCTCAGTTATGAACACCTACATATTTTACTGTTAATCCAACTACGCATCTTATCCGTACATAATTAGTTTATCGAAAGGGCTGCCACGTCCGCTTACTCTCTGGGACAGAAGAACACTTTATAGAATGTTTATATCAGTGTTATGGTTAGAGGGAAACGAAGCATCAATTGTCCGGTAGTACAAAGCTCGGTAAACGCGTAAAAGCGCTGAGAGTAAATGTATATAGTAACTTACGTGTTTGATATCTTATTTTTCGAGGACATTGCTTTGGATTCAATCATATAAGCGTAGGTGGTACGAGGCGCGGTCAGTGACAGCACTGGTTGATCGGTCACCTGGACAGAAAATTCCTCCTGTGTGGTTTTTGCTTCTGATACAGCCGTACCTTCAAGGAACATAAATTTACCTTTTGTAAACATTTTTAATTAACGAAAATTCGACGGGTTTGCTCGGTCATTATATGGGGAAAAGCCTCTAATCTAACCCGCTGTTGGGGATCCCAGACTATCTATGGATCAAATAAATACCTCGGAACTTCCCAATCTGGTCGAAGTAAACTACAATTGGGTCATTTCTAAGGCTTTTTTGCTTAGTCCTTCGTTTTCCAAATGCAGAGGACTTTATATAAGTATTTAATGAAACTATAATAATTCTAATTTAGGGTACAGTCTATATGTACGTAGAATGTGAATTTCTCCCCTTATGTCCGTGACTTGATAGATATTGTTTAAAGGTAACCAAAGCTGCGATATCGCCGTCGCAGTCCACAAGGAAGAGCACAACAAGAAGAGCGCAAAAGTAGAAGTCTTTTTCCATACGTAGTACAGCGTACTCATGGCAAACAAAGTATTCAAGATTGGACCAATCGAATTGTGTCCTTGAGGGGTAACATTCTGACTGACTGTCGGGCTGGACAGAGTGATAGCGCAGAACACTAATCATGGACGGCGGCTTGATCGATCTCATCACTCGCGCCACTTATACCGATCGATAGTGCACCGTTGGATGAGTAATCAGGACAGTCTAATAACTGGTAGTTGTGCCTGCCCCTAACAGATATTTGTCAGGTCTTTTTCCTACATACTGTCTGCAAGTCCATTTTAAACATTTTATTTCCTTGCCCATATCACTAACGGAGAATCTGTTGCGTCCTGACTGCCAAAAGTTCATTTATGTCACCTCACCTAAAAATCCAAGAGCTTGGTCCAATCACTCATTTTCACTTTATTAAATTTCTAAGGGTCTGTAAACTAAGTAAGTATGCCAGATAAGTCTCCCCTGGTACGGCAGCAATGGAAGAAACAACAAGATATTGCTGTCAACAACTGAATAGGTGGTTATGATTGAAAACCTAGGCCCAGTGAGAAGTGGCAGCACAGGAATTCTTGCAATACGGGGAGGATGAGATTATTTGTTTAACCATACGGCAGATAAACGCGGCAATTAACGGAATCTGCCGAAGACATTGAGAAAACTTGCACTTCTGTCACATATCTGTTTTATTACACCAAGAACCTATCGCAACAAACCATGGTATTTAAAAGATGTTAATTAGGGACATGAAAAAGGGCGGAAACCAGGTCACTGAAGACTTAAGAAGGACGGCTATGTTGAAGCTGTAGGTGGTGGGCCAACGGAACCCCCATTCTAACATTAGCCCTAACCTTAAACCTAGTCCCTATTATAAACCAAACCCTAACGCCACGCCTGAACATGCACGCAGCCCTAAATGCAAACCTTAATCACAAAACCCGAACGCCAACCTTACATGCTAACCCTAACCCTAAAGGCTCTACAATGGGTAACCTTAGCGTAACATATGTAAATCATATGATTAGATTTTTTAGCTTTCTAGGAGCAAGGAATTACATATTTACTCTTTACTGTACGGTTTCGTGCTAAGTCACTAGCAAAAGTACCAATTAGAATAATAAAGGATCTAGGGACTTATAAAGCTTACTTGTCGGTAATATTATGCTATCCTGTCGTTCCTGGACTGCGTAACTTTCCAGGTCTTTGTAGTTGAGCCCCCATTTCCCATCTGGTGGGAGGAGAGGCATGGTAAGGGGTGACTCACTGAACGTGTTAATACCCTTTACTGGTGGTTCCCGATCTAAGAGTATCTGTGTGACAAAGGACGGAGATGGAGACTGTGAAAGCGGCTCCATATTCGGTGATAAACTTCCTGTATCTTTTGAAAGGCGATTGATGGCGGAGGATTTTTCACGAGGTGTGTCTCCCTCCACCCGCTCTTCCTCCTCTTCGCTCAGGTCAGATGAGAGTTGAGATTGGGGTTCCCGGTTTGGCAGGAGGGTGGATGAGGAACGAGTCCAGTATGTGGTGGTCTCTGGGAGAATTGGATTATCCTTACCAACCTGGAGCCCAGCTAGACCGGGAAGGTAGCCTAAAAAGAAGCTTTATATAAGTGCTTGGGCTTCCATAGCTAGTAATCCAAGGAAGCAACTTCAACTTACCTTAGATTTACAGAATAAACGGACATGTTTTATATTGACCTATCTTATAGAATATACAGATCAAGAGAATCTTTTGTAACATAAAATGTTTCGAGGACGCGGACGACCGATTTTGGCAAAAGGTAGTGGTCAACACTTGCCTACTAAGTGTAGAAAAATATCACTTTCTGCCAAAATAGGCGATTTTTCACTGCATTGCCTCCACCGGGCCAATAATGTAGAGTCTGTGTTTGATAGAATTACTATCGTTGTTCTGACAGCACACACAATGGCCCCGGGTACTTAAAGTTAGGCTGGTCGTGAGTTTGAAAAAGGGCTTGCAGTTAAAACTTCCACCTGTTTGGAGATTTGCCCAAATTAGTTAAAGTTATTGCGTGCTTAAATGGTAGTACTTTGAAAACACTCTCCTCGTAGAGGCTAATTTAACCACTGGTGTCCCTGAACTGAACAACTTGACCATACAAGGAGCCTGAGGTGAACAAAATGGATTTTTTTTAACCAGAGCAAGTGGTTCCCTGAGAAGCCTTTTCTGCTCACTTTCCAGGCACCGAGTAGCACGCGGCTCTTCATCGAATGCTCGCGCGACCGTACTAGCCTGGCAACGAATGCTAACCCTAACGAAGCCAATGAATAAGGTTAGACGTAGGTTAGGTTGCCGTGTAGGTAGTCGTGAATAGGTAGGCGCCTAATACGATCTAATTCAGTGCTAAAAAGCCGCCTAACATGACATGTAAACCAGTCTGAAGGAATCATGGAAATGTGGCAGTCAGTCCGGACTAGAGGCCAACCAACATACGCTGCTATGGACCAAACATGGCAAGGCATTATCGCATTTTCCGGCATGTTTGAAATTCACACTGTTCTGTACACTCTCTACACACATCTGACGACGACCTGGTGTGCCAGTGTCGAAAATTCAATGCAGTTTGCTACCGTTTCCCAAAGAACTTTTCTTACCGAATAAATTCCTTTTTATTGCCAGCGTATAACCGTTCTTTCCGTCCTTTAAACTGTCCTATTCCATTGCCACCGTTCCCATATTAGACACCCACGTATGCATTGTGGTAGTTAGGAGAGCCTTATAAGCATTCTTTATCCGGTAGTAGAGCCACGCAACCATTCTTTGCCCCCCTAGCTCGTTGTAAGCGGCACTGAGAAACGATATAAACTAGGTGCTTGCTAGGTATAACTACCATTGTGAGGATTTTCTTTTTCTTGAACACTTCAATTTGCAGTATCAGCATGGTAGTAAATATCAGCGACAACATAATACCATTTAGCGTTTAAACTATATCAGGTCATTCTGGACTGCCCACTCTCCGGTGTAGTTTAGAAGATCGCTGAGATCCACGATCACATTCAAAATTCTTCACATCTAGGAATTCGGTACTTTGGTTGGCACAAAGCTCCCTTACAGCATTGGGATCTTTTCTCTCCGTTTGACTGATAATAGACGACTTAAAATCTCGTCACCTACCGTATACCGCCTGATATTTTAGAAGGTATGTTATCGACTGACGCGTTTAATCAATCCTGTCACTAGAAATGGAAATTTGGTCAGTATACGAACGTGGAAGAGAAAAAGAGTAATCTTACTACTACTGCTAGTCCTTTTTGCTCTGTAGGATTTCTCCCCCCATGAATCTGGTTGACTGACCGATAATTTCAGCTCAGTACAGGAAAGCCGGTCAGTGAAAGCTATGATTCCCAATTATTTCTTAACTCGGTCGTTCACGCTGCTAGTAAACAAATGTTCCTACATAGTGACTTATATTATCATATTTTTGGCAGGTAAACGGCAGCATAGTTTTCACCCTCCTGACCGGTTATTGTTTGCACGGTAAATTTTGTGACAAAGAAAGAGGACTGCACTATGAAAATCTGATGAGAGAAATAAACCTTAAATGATCAGAGGCGAAAAAAGGGGCTGGTCGAGTAGCGGAAACATTTGTTTATCGTTCTGAGCTCTCAAACCTCTTACAAGTGTTCATCGTTAGAAAATGACCGCATTGGCAAAACAAGCAGCAATAATAAGGGGAATTAGCCAACCAGCGGTCAGCAACGCAGATCTGAGATGACTTCTTAGGGTTCTGTATGTCGGGGGAATATTATCCCTTTAAGTTTCGCTTGCTTTGCTGCTGCCGTCATTTCTCACGATGAACTTGCAGACCAGTTCAAAAGCTCGGAAGAAAAGGCATATCCTTTTGGTTCTCAACTGGTCCTTTTTTTCTTTCTTATCCCTACATACATCTGAAACTCTAAAAGTAGCCCCCATTTCTGTAAAGGTCGTTATAGTTGCCAGGTTCCTATCAATAAAACCGTCTTGTTAGCTCTGCAGCATACTCTTTTGTGTAATTACAAAATTATGATTGGATATGCCTGGTTGATCATGGCTAATACGCCAGAAAGGGTCAAACTGTCTTCCCGACTCTAGGTTGAACCCCAAGGCATAACGGGGCAAGTTGTTTCTAAAAAGCGATCGATAAGCCTCCTGTACTTTATATATATATAGCTATTTAATATTTACCTCACAATAGTGACCAGTAGTGAGTAGATAAAAACATGTTATTAATATTGCTTAACATAAAGAGAAATTATATTGAAATCCAAGTATGCTTTATGTGGTCATCCAACCAGTTAGTTCGTCTCTGAACCTGCTCTATTCTTGTAAATTAACGAATAACTACGTGGCTGAAGTACCAAGAACTGCACAGTGAAAATTAATAAAGATATGCAGATACTGACCATCATTTGTGTTCCATTCTTATGCATTCCTAATTTATTTTGCATTTTTAAAATAAGACAAAAGTAAGAAAGAAGTGGAATCGAACTCAAAAAAGTGTGTTTTACCGGCGTTTTCTGACATGCCTCGAAGGGATGACATAGACTGGGCTGATGGCTGTTGACATTTTCTGGCTTTAGATGAAGACGTTTGGTTGTCGACCGCAAATGAATTTCCTTCTGGAAACGCCTCCAACAAAGGTTCCTGAAGGGACAAATTGCGCCGCAATACTCGTGTAGATGTAGACACTAGCGAATGTGCCCTCGCCCTGGTGTTGGGTAGATCTTTTGGTATTTTTTTGTGACCTAAAAAACCAAAAAGGTAATATGTGGAATACGTTATAGCGGGGATTTGGTCTTGTGAGTCAACCTTCGCTCCTGGAAGGTGGCAGTTCTGCATTCTATGTTCGCCTCTGTCACTTCTGTTTATTTCTTTCATTGCTGACGCCTTTGACTTCGGTGGTTGTACTTATTTTCTTAAACTGGGAATCTTATCAAATCAATCTTCAATTCAGCCGATTTTGAAAAATATGTGGTCTTGGTGGCATTCAAACGACGTCAGCAAGTAAAGCTTTAGTTCAGCCAACGCTCTACCAATTGAACTACGAAGGCACACCGCGAGCTGTGTATTTGATTACACCTGGGTTGATTTACCCCCGCCCACCAGCCCACTGCACGTATAGAATCCACCTATACGGATACGGTAAACTGACTGCCCAGGCTGGATTTTTTAAGCAATTATCTAGAATCCACCAGAAGGACTACTAGGCAAACTAAATTATCAGGACGGGTTTGGCAGATATGAATAATTCAATTGATCCAATTATAGAAAATTCGCGGCGTCGGTAGGATCCGAACGCACAACAGCAGGAGAGGACCTGGTACAGCAAACGCCCTACCAATTAAGTTACGAAGGTACACTGAAAGCCTTTAATTTAATCAGACTTGGTTCAATTTACTAATACAATTATTAACGTTCCAGGTTAGCACGTTAAACGCCGTCTCGCGAAAATGACAGGAAGTTCCTAAACACTTTCGAATAGTAGACAGATCCAGAAGAAGAGGTATGTTTCGAGCTATTTGGTTGCGGTGTTGGAATTGTCCCACTGTTTTTACTTGTACTTTACGGTAGGCGGTTTGCTTACCAGTAGTTAGCACTTTTACGCAGAGCAATGGAAAATTCAGCTGGGAAGCAAAAGTCCATGCAAATCCTGCTAAGTGCACAGAAAATAACAAAATGGGTAAATTACCCATTTAAAGAATCAATGTTTTTACTTAAGCGTTACCTGTGTAAAGCCTAGTCCCAACTCCTAGTGTTTGTGGTTTGCGTAAATTGCATGTGGCTCCCAGCTGATATGGCTTTAGCTAACCCCTCAGTAGGCATCCACATCAAGCCCAAAGCAAAAAACAACAACTACTGCGTGTCTAGTCATCTCTCTCGCTCTATACCGCTGACTATCGTCCCACTCCAGCAAACTCCGAGGGTATATCGCAGCTGCGAGGATAATTTCTCACGCCGGCAGCAAGACAGGCCGAGAAGTGATTGAAGTCTGGGCGTCGCATGACAACTCAGTTTACAGATGCATCGAACTGGCGCCCACATATGTTGCCCTGCGCAGGTATCCCCAGACTCACGGCACTGGCGGTTAATTGGTCCTGTCCCCACCCGCCCACTATGACGGTAAATTGGCCCCTTTCTTCTCTAAATGCTGCTTGTTTTTCATTGACGATTTTATCTCTGCTGCTGGACTCCCGCAAGAGTTCGACGGCTCAGACTAATAAACTATGACTCTGGTGATCGACATGATTACTTCTCAATACATACTAATCCTGCATAAGTGTGCAACAATAATTATCCCAAGTAGTCATTTCTGCAGTAGATAACTGTTTGTAAACCTGCATTCTCAAGTATCCCAAAGCAATTGGCATTTAGATTTTGATGTTGTATATAAATGTCAGAGCCCAGTGGCAGGGGTCGCAGCCAATCTAAGTGAGATAGTGACAGGCAACAAGCGCTTGGTGTTACAAACACAGAAATTACAGTCATGCACCTTTCTCGTAGTCCCACGCTGACCCGGGAACGATGGGTCATGAGTCATAGTTCACGGGCCTTCAATCCATAAACAAGTGCAATGATTTGCCCAATCCATATTTGGTGCTGAGACTCAATTTGGCCAAAGCAAGTCCCACTTGGGGAATGGACAGGCTACCGTGTCAGCCTACGCCAACACCGGAGGGCCAGATGGCCGAGCAATCATCACG